TCGGATTCTGTGTCTCCCTCTCTCTCTCTCTGCCCTCCCCTACTTGCACTGTGTTTGTGTTTCTCTCTCTCTCAAAAATAAATAAGCATAAAAAAATAGTAACAAATTTTTAAATGCTCATTGTTGAAGAATGCTAACCATCATCTGAGATTTCAGTGAGTCATAATCACTGAGCATAGATCAACATAATGAATATAATAACAATATTGAATATAATATTGCCAGAATTACCAAAATGTACCACAGAGACACAAAGTGAGCAAATGCTGTTGGAAAAATGGCAGCGACAGACTTGCTCAATGCAGGGTTACAAGACACATTTGTAAAAAACACACTATCTGCAAAGTGCAACAAAGCCAAGTGCAATAAAACAAAGTATGCCTGTATCTTCTTCCACTCTGCCGCTTTCCTTCTTGCTTGGTGGAATCTTCTGATAAACAGATGTTCTTAAATTTTCTGTTCTGTTTCTTTGTAGTAATTTTTGTGTCCTGTTTAAAAAATATTTTTTACATTATCATGAAGATACTCTCTAAATCTTTATTGCTAAATCTTTATTGCTTTGCCTTTCATAGGCCTATAAACCACATGGGATTAATATTTGAGGTAGCAGATAGGATCCATTTCATTTCCAAAATGGATATTCAATTGACCCAGCACCATTTTTAAAAAGATCACTTTCGGGGCGCCTGGGTGGCGCAGTCGGTTAAGCGTCCGACTTCAGCCAGGTCACGATCTCGCGGTCCGTGAGTTCGAGCCCCGTGTCAGGCTCTGGGCTGATGGCTCAGAGCCTGGAGCCTGTTTCCGATTCTGTGTCTCCCTCTCTCTCTGCCCCTCCCCCGTTCATGCTCTGTCTCTCTCTGTCCCAAAAATAAATAAACGTTGAAAAAAAAAATTTAATTTAAAAAAAAAAAGATCACTTTGGGGAGACAGTCAACTATATTACTTTTGTCAACAATCGCATGTCCTCATAGGGGTGAGTGTGTTTCAGTGTTCTCTATTCTGATCCAATGTCTGTTTGTCTTATCCTTGTACTGGTATCACTACATTAAGTATATAACATAACTTAATATCCTGGAGGGAGGTGGGGTGGGGCGCAAGCCCTTCCTGCTTATTGTTTTTCTTCAAATGAGGCTTGGTTAATCTTGGCATTTTGCATATTCTTATAAATTACAGAATCATCTTATCTGTTTCAAAAACAAAACTTGTTTATTTTAAATGGCAATACTATGAATCTGTAGGTCAATTTGGGAATTACTGACATTGTTACAATAATGAATCTTTCAATCCATACATCTTTCCATTTATTTAGGTTTTTCTTTAATTTATCACAATAATATCTTACGGTTTTCTGCACAGAGGTCTTGAGCATATTTTGTGATATTTATTCCCAGGCATTTGAGATCTTCTAAGCTTTAAAAACAATAATACATACTTATATGTGGTATATATTTATTTCAATTAAATTTTATGTATTTACCATGCACTAATTAACCCTGCTAAATTGATTTAGTAATTCCAGTTTGTAGATTTTTATCTTCTATGTACACAATCACATCACTCAGATATAATACTGTTTTTTTCTTTTTTCCAATCATTATACCTTTATCTTGTTTTCTTGATTACTGAATGTTGAATCTTATCAAATACTTTTTTCTCTTCCTGTATCTACTGAGATAATAACATGAATTACCTCCTTTACCGTGTTAATACTGGTGATTACATTAATTGATTTAGTGTTAAGATAATGTTGCAGTTTTAGAAGAAATCCAAGTTAGTCTGGATATATTACCCTTTTTATATTTTACTGGATATATTTATTTACTAATATTTCCTTAGAATTTTTGCAACTATATTCAGAAGTAAAATCACCCTACACATTTCCTTTCCTCTCCTTTCACCAATGCCACCTTCTAAGACTGCAGTTTTTGTTATTATTTGTACATTTTTCTTGTTTTTGTGAAATATATTAAATATGCTTAACAGCTACAGAACTATCCAGATTTTCTTTTTATTCATCTTTCAGCTTTGATAAGTTGTGTTTTTCAAGGAATTTGTTGTTTTCGTTTAATTATGCAAATATATGGACACAGCTACTTATATCATCCTCTTACTATTTTAATGTTTGTAAGACCTATAGTGAGGTTCCCTATTTCATTCCTTAGATGAGTAATTGGTGCCAGCTTTTTTTATTGTCCTGTCTGTGGTTTATCATTCTTTACAAACGTTTTCAAAAACCAGCTTCTCAGTTTATAGATCCTCTATTTCTTTTCTATTTCACTAATTTCTATTCTTCTAATACTATTTCCTTCCTTCTGCTTTCTCTAGATTTTATTTTATTCTTCTTATTCTAATTTCTTTTTTTTTTTAATTTTTTTTTTAATGTTTATTCATTTTTGAGAGACAGAGAGAGACAGAGTACGAGCCAGGGAGGGGCAGAGAGACAGAGGGAGACACCAGAATCCAAAGCAGGCTCCAGGCTCTGAGCTGTCAGCACAGAGCCTGATGCGGGGCTGGAACCCACGAACTGTGAGTTCATGACCTGAGCCTAAGTCAGACGCTTAACCGACGGAGCTACAGCGCCCCTCTAATTTCTTAAGGTAGATGCTTACTCATTAATTTTCAGTCATTCTTCATTCTAATATATTCATTTAAGACCATAAATTTTCATCTAAGCACTACGTTAGCTATATTTTCCATGGCTTTTCCTCTGCTGTTCTTTCCATATTTTGCCTCTTCAAGTTTCAGTCTCGAAATTTTCTTCTAATCTATTTTCTAGCTTATTCTTCTTTCTTCAGCTGTGTTTAATCTACCATTAAATCCATCCACTGCTTTTAAATGTTTGGTTATTGCTATTTTCATTTATTTAATTTCTGTTAGATTCTTTTCCCCATCTGCTATGTCATTTTTTGTAGTTTCCAGCTCTCTGCCAAAATTTTGAATCTTGTCTTTCATCACCTTGAACACAGTAAGCATATGATAGGCTGCATAGCACTTCTAACAGGCTTGAAGGGCAGGGAGTTAAAGGTGAAGGTCTAGGCCAATCATGGATGGAAAGGTAAGGCTGAAGTAGAGGAAACCAAGTCCTCACGTAGATTGTAGCACAGCTCTGATTTATCTGGATGGCTCAGACATTCTTAGTCTCTGAAAATGGATTAAGATGATTTCTGGAATAGCTAGTGCTCACAGGCACCTGCACAAGCAAAGGAGAATTTCCTCCAGAAGACAGTAACGTTATCCTAGGCCTCAAGTTTCTTTCTACAAACAGTGTTTCAAGTTGAATGTCCAGTACACAATAAAAAACAAGCAGGTACTAAAGGAAGCAAGATAATGAGTATGAGAGGAGCAGAAACAGCGGCAATGGAAGCTAGCCTATAAAGACTAAACTAAACTATAAAGATCTAGTATCGTACCCACCTCTAAAACTGATGGTGGTTAAGATGAGATGAGATTACTGTTTGGTACTGTATTTATTCCATTGTCTCTCTGCTTAATTAGTTATTGAAAAAAATCATCTTAATATAACTGTACGGGGCAACGAAAATTTACTTGATTTTTTTCCATTTTGTAATAAATAGCACAAATCTTAAGAAATCTATACTAGTTTTCCCCTAAGATTTAAAGGTCAAATACATCTATTCTAAATTTGTCCTAGCCTTTTGTCTCTAAAATGTAAAATTCATACGAGCTGAGATCTTGGGCTATTTCATACAAGTATTATATGGTACCTATTGCATGGTGGGTTCTCAACAAATAATAATTACTGATGATGCTAAAACTACCATTAACAACTTGACACTGAAGATCACAGTCACTTCTATTCCTCTCATTTCCTCTATACATTACAGCATGGGGCAGAGAGCTCCTCAGAGTAAGACATGGAGAAAGGGAAAAGCAATGGCTAAAGTTAGACCGAGTAGAGTCATCTCTAATGAGAGTTGTGGGTCTGCATAAAGCATAAAATCATCTGCTTAAAGAATTCAGAAAATTGGAGTGCCTGGGTGGCTCAGTCGGTTAAGCATCTGTCTCTTAGTTTCAGCTCAGGTCACAATCTCAGGGTTCGTGAGTTCAAGCCCCACGTCAGGCTCTGTGCTGGCAGTGCGAATCCCTGCTTGGGATTCTTCTCCCTCTCTCTTTCTGCCTCTCCCCCACTCTCTAAATAAATAAGTAAATAAATAAATAAACTTAAAAAAAAAAAAAAAACAAAGAATTCAGAAAATTGACAGAGTGGTGAGGAATCACTGGTCCAAGACCCAGGAAAAGATGGCAGTCTGACAAGTAAGCCTGGCATTAGAAGCAACTTCTGCTGTGCACATCTGCAGAAGCAGAATTGAGAGGAAGTTGAAGCCCTGTTGTCCCCAGAGAAACCACAACCAGATACCCACTTCAGGGTGAGGGCTATAATGGCTGAATAAAGCAGGAGTGGAGAAGGGCCCCAGGGCCCCAGGCATGGTTGAGAATTGAAAGCACACTCTCCATTAAGCCACGGGCAAGGAAAACGCTATACCTTATGTGAATAAGGATCTCAGAAATCTCTGCCCTCTGGCCCTGGATGAAGCCAGCCTTCTAGAAACCTCCTCTAAAAAATCAGAACTCCAGGTCTGCCACATACACTGGTGTGGATCAAAATATTGAAAGACACAATAAAAATTTGGGGGAATTGAATAAAAAAAATAAGTTCCCAAATTATAAATGCATATCGATTCCCCAATAAAAAAAATAAAGAATAAAAAAAGAATAAAAATTTAAAATAATAAATAATTAAAAATGATAAAGAATAACAATAAAATAATAAATCAGTAAGTTGTGTATTGAATTAATAAATAATGATATTAAGTAATAATAAAGCCTAAGCATTTTCTTAAAGAGTATAAATTCCTCACCCAGCCTGAAAACAATGGAATAATATCCTCAAAGGGCAGAGAAGACACACCTGCCAATCTGTCAGTACCCATTTAAATTATCATTTAAGAGTAAAGGTGAGATACATATTTTCAGACATTCAAAAGCTAAAAAACCAAAAAAGAATCTTTATCTATACTCCATCATTGAAAGAAGGACCCAAAAACATGTTCTTCAGCAATATGGAAAATAAACCCGTTAAGAGTAGGCAGCAAGAAACTATGGTTGCATTTTTTTAAATTTAATAATTGATAAGAAAGAAGATAGCATTCAAAAACTCAAGCATGGCTTTTGGTATGAGGAAAAAGGAATGTAAATTTTAAATGCTATTGTGGAGGAAAACAATTTTAACAAGCAAGCCTCTTATTTATAAGAAGTAAATACAACTTACATTTATTACTAGATCTTTGTAAGGAGGTCACACCCTATACCCTATACCATAGTGCCCTATACCATAAAATCATGCTCAATTACTATTTAACCAACCAAGCCAAATTCTTAAGGGAAACAATACAAAAAATTAACTGATAGCTTAGAAACTTATAAAACATGCTGCAAACTTGTGACAATTTTCGTAAAATAAGAGCATCATAAAAAGTTTAAAGATGCAAATGTTCTCCGCTTAGAAGAGGAAGAAACTTAAAATACTGGTGAACAAGTCAAAATAGGATGATTGCCATTTCCTTTTTTTTCTTTTTTTTTTTTTTTCTCTTTACTTTCACGTCAGGCCATCCTATCTATCACTTGCTTTCTGGTAAAGTTCTTAGTAACACTGCAAACAGGACCTTCTTCTGCAAGATTAGTATCATCTCAGCCAGCTGAGCTGTTTGTTTATACTTGAACAATCAATCAATTTCTCTCCCTCTCTCTCTCTCTCTCTCCCTCCCTAAAAAACAAACAAAAACAGTAAAAACACTATCCTCTCTTGCGGCTAAGTTCTAAACACAAGTTCTCATTTCCAGAATTTGGAGAGCTTAGAAGGAGAACTTCAGGGCATTCTTTAAAGAACTCGTCTAAGCTTAAATGCTCTAAATTATTTTCTCATCAGAGACATAACTCAGATCTTTTAAGGATGTTCTTCGAAGAACACGGAGGGCGCGTGAAGCCGGGCTCGGGGTTAGTGAGCGAGAGTCCCAGGCAAATCCTGAGTCCTGAATTTTTCCCACTTCTCAGCCACAGTGATGGAAATCCAACTGTGGAAGTTAGGTCCCTGCAGTAACCCAGGAGCGCAGACAAACCACCAGCGGGAAGCACGCGTGCCGTCTGAAAGCCCTTACCTGACCCTCGTCGTCAGGGCTCGGAGTGGAGGGTGGCGCGCAGGCTGGGGCCGCGGGAGCGTCGGCGTCCTAGCGCCCCGTGTGCAACCGAGAGGGAAGCAGGGATCCCCGGCGCACCCCGGCTGAGGGCTGCGGAGCGAGGACGCCAGCAGAGCGCGCTCTCGGGCGCGGCAAGAAAGGCCCGACGTACCCGGGAGATGGCGGAGCCGCCCCGGGCCGCGTCTCCTGGCAGCCTCAGGATGCGACGCGCCTGGGCCGAGGCCGGGAGCGAAAGGAAACGTGCGCGCGGCGGGCGCGCGTCCTCGCCGGGTGCGGGAACCTTCTGTCGCTGAGCACACCGCCGCGCAGCGGAGGAGAGGCCGTGGGGCCGCGCGCCGTCGCGGCCGCCTTTGGCCCCGGGCTGCTTCAGGTGACCTCGACTGAGGTTGCGGCCCACCCGAGGCGGCCCGAGTCCGCCGAGGGCGCTGGGAGGGAAAACAGAACCGAGATTGGTAGCGGCCCCCGCGTGGGAATTCCCGAAGCACAGAGGAAGATTTCGCAATCCCAGTAGCCAGTTACCCAACTAGTATCATCCAGAAGCTTTGGCATTCAGAGCCTCGCGTTACCCAGAAGCACACCGTCTTTAAATTCCACTTCTCCGTTCCTGTCCATCCTTGGGAGCCCCAATTCGTGCCTATCCCCCCCCTCAACAATTTGTATCTCCAGGGCCCACTTCCACCAGCAAGTCTATATTCTCTTATATTAAAATAGCTCTCACCAGTCACTATCTGGATCAACCTAGGAAATTTTGCCTGAGGAGCAGATAAGGACATTTTTTGTTTTAAATCCTGGGGCAGCCCCTGGTGGTGCACTGACTGTAGCACCTATTTCCCATCCCTACTCTTCTCATGAAAGATGTGGGGCTCCAAAGGATTTTGAATCCAAATTCTAACCATGCTCAGTTCCATCACCACCTCTCAAAGTAATTGAAAAACAAAGACTTAGGTTTTTTTCCTTGCCGCAGAAACTAGTGAAGAATGTTCATAAGGGAAACAAATTACCTTTCAAAAATTAAGCTGCCTTAATAATATTCATAGAGTACATTTTATATTCATAACTGTATTTGATCTTCACGAATTGAGGCAGAGGAAGCATTCTTGCTCCTCTTTCGCACACTAGGAAATGCCATGCAAATTGTGGCAGAACTGAGATTTGAAATGGGAATTTTACCTTTCTCGAGCAGCATTCCACATCCCTAATCCTCATTAAGCGTTCCAATATCAGGCAAACTTAATCAGGAAGCAGGAGTGAACTTGAGAGGATGGAGTCTGATTTTCCATTCAGGTTACGGACTATGTGGATATTTCTCTCTCCCTGATGATCCAGGCTCTGCAGCCGCCTGAAAAGACTTTGTTCTTACCACTTCAAAATCTCCACCTCTCTTCCTCAGGAGTTCTCAAGTGTATAGGTAAGAAAACTTATTCCCAATATTTTCCCCCTGAATCTAAAAACCTCTGTTCTTTCTCTGTATGTCTTTAATTGAACTGCCTAGATTAACTAATGTTATTGCTTCGTAATCCCAAAACTTCTTAGAATGTTCGGCAAAGTCAGATAGAAATCATTTATTTCCCCACAAGTTATTACCAGTGTAATAAAGATTATTTTACAGTTAGCAAAGCTGTTAGCACGTTCTGCTTAGGCACAGACCTTATTCTTGCTCAGTCATAAACATTTTCAAAGCTCTTTTTTTTTTTTAATGTCTATTTATTTTAGAGAGAGAGAGAGAGACAGAACACGAGCAGGGTGGGGGGCAGAGAGAGAGGAAGACATAGAATCCAAAGCAGGCTCCAGGCTCTGAACTGTCAGCACAGAGCCTGACACGGGGCTTGAACTCACAAACCGCAAGATCATGACCTGAACCGAAGCTGGACGCTCAACTGACTGAGCCACCCAAGTGCCCCCAAAGCACTTTCAAATATATCTTTTCATCTGAGTTTCATAAGAACACATTAAATAAATGGTTCTGATATTACACCTTCAGCTCAAGTGATTGGAGAACTTGTCTTAAGTCACATGGTTCACAGCTAGGTGACAAACCCAGATTGGACTCCAAAGCTCCTTAGTCAGTCTGCTTTTCAGTTTGGCATAAGGCCTCCTACAACTCACTACAAAACTTATTTTTTAAGATTTGAAAATGAACACAGAATATGAAAAGGTATTTGGGAAAGGATATCTCATGTAGATATTTATATTTCTGAGTACCTGACTGAAATTCTAAGTTATTTGAAGTTATCAAAATTCACAGTGTATCTTTTTCACAAAAAGTATTTGTAATAGGTAAATAAAACAATAAGAAATATATCTGTCAAAAATCACTTAATGAAAGTCTAATATAATCCCTGCACTATTTTGTGGACCTTTGTATGCAAATACCCATTTTTCAAAAATTTTCTGTTCTGAAAAGATTTCACTAACATATGCAATTTTTGAAGAATCTGTTTAATATTGCCTGTGCAAAACAACAGTAAAATTCTAAATCAACACAGAACCAAGTTTTGAAAACTGAGAATATTTCATTCTGTATATATTTCCATTTTAAAAACTACCATTATTCTTCAACCCAAACACTTCCTGCAGGAAACGGCCTTTTTCTCAATGGGCTCCAGAAGAATGAGAATGACAGCATCGTTCTCATCAAACAGACGGAAGTGGGAGAAGTCCAGCTCGTACTTGCACCACTCACTCCTCACAAAGTTTTCAGAAAGCACAAAGATGGTTTTGTGGCTCTTCTCGATGGAGTCGATGATGTTGTCGATAATCCATTTGCCGGGAATGAAGTCCCGCTTGTGGAGACACAACTTGAAGGGAGGGTCGAAGTGCTCCAGCTCCTGGACCATAAGGTTCTCCACCCAGTGGGAATCCCGCTCGCTGTAAGACACAAAGGCGTCATAACAGAGGTCCCGCTGGGGAGCTTTCCTGGGCTTCCTTTTGGCCTGGAGCCAAGCCCACATCATTTTCAGGTACCACACCAGAAACGTGGTGGGCACAGAACCCCCGTGAGCAGGATCAACAAGAAAAGGACACAGCACACGACAGACACCAGAGCTGCCCTGTGGCATTCAGAAGCTGGGAGATGGGTGTCCTGAACCCGCTGGCCCCGCACATAGAATGGAGAGTCACACAGGTAATTGTGTGGCCAGTCGGTCAGGATTCAGTGTTTGTTGCCCGCCACAAGTGCGGAAAGACAGGAATTCACAGGAGCAAATGAAATTGTTGCCTCCAGCTTCCAAAGTCGTCAGTCTTTGAAAAGAATCAAGTTGCTCCTTAGAGAAAGTGTTATTTTCCTGCTTACTTTCAAAGAAAAAGGAAGTAGCTGGTAGTGTCTTCAACACCTGAAAAGGTCAAGTTGTTTAAGTTGTGGCAAAATAAAGATTTATTTGCTAGTCTGATTCTACTATGTTAGTGTCTGAGAAGCATTGTGGGTTAAATTGTAATTTAGTGTTGGGAAAACTAAGTCTTCTACCTTTTCTGGCTCGATAAGTGTTAGGTAAAGAGCCAAGCATATGTTGACCTCACCAAGATTAAGGTCAGGTTTTCCCAGGGAGTAAAATAATAATTTTTTGAGTCTTGTCTTTAAATTCAAGGTAAATGAAGAGGAGTGCCATATAAGTTGAATGTTTCAATTATTCTTCAACAATCAAATTTTCACTGAGATCCAAGTATCCTGGGGATTTAAGTTAAGAAGATACAGTATTAAGTAGACTTTGGCAATTTCAACTGTGAATATCTTCAGTTAATATAAAAGCATATCTTTAAAGTTCTTGTTGTCTCAAAAAAATTCTCACAATTTTCCCAAGAAGTATACAGTCTTCTAAGTTCTATCCAAACTGATTTTCATTTTTTCGGGGCTTCTTTTGAATTGTAGGTTCTCTTCGTTAACTCATACAAAGTATGCACAGGTCTAAAGCGACTTTTACTAGGTCATAGGAAGTTCCTGAAATTATCGTTGTTTCTGTTAGTTATAGAGCCTGGAGCCTGTTTTCATTTCTACTAATATAGCCATTGTCTGTAATAATAAACGCAAAAAAATTTTTTTAATTTTAAATTTTTTTTTTTAATGTTTTATTTATTTTTGAGACAGAGAGAGACAGAGCATGAACTGGGGGAGGGCTGAGAGAGAGGGAGCACAGAATTCGGAAGCAGGTCTAGTTTCTGAGCCATCAGCCCAGAGTCTTAGGGACGCATGCTGCTGGGCTCAACCACCGGATCACAGATCAAATGACCTGAGCTGAAGTCGGCCGCTTAACCCACTGAGCCACCCAGGCACCCCCTGGGCAGCAATGTTCTTTCTTTTGAAACATCTTTGAACCTTGAGATCAACCAAAATCTCAGAGTAAAGTTGCTGCTCTGTGATGGGTCAAAAGGAACGGGAACTTCCAGTTATAAGATAAATAAGTTCTTAGAGATGTAATATAGAACATGAGGATCTATAGTTAACAAATTGCATTGTATATTTGAAAAGTTGCCAAGAGAGTAGATCTTGAAAAGTTCTCATCATACAATAAAAAAAAGTTACAACTATGAGGTGATAGATGTTAACTAAAGTTATGGGGGGTAATCATTATATATATATATATATATATATATATATATATATATATATATATATATAAAATCATTATGTTGTACATATTTAATACAATGCTATAAGTGAATTATAGTTCAATAAAATTGGAAAAAAATCACACTGAGATATCCCTACATGTTCACCAGAATGGTTAAAGACTAACAGTACCAAGTGTTGGTAAGGATATACAACAACTGAAACTCTCATACATTGCTGGTGGGAATGCAAAATTCTATACCCACTTTGGGGAAGTTTGACTGTTTCTTATAAAATTAAACATGCATTTAATCTGTGACCCAGCAATCCTTCTCCTTAGGTATTTACCCTCAAGAAATGAAAACGTAAGTCCACACAAAGTCACATACTTTATTCAAAGCTAGAAACAACCCAAATATCTATCAACTGGTGAATAGATTTAAAAAGTTGTTGTACATCTATACTAGAATACTATATGCAAACAATATAATACTACTCAGCAATTAAAAGGAAGAAATGATACATCGCAAGAACATGGATGGATCTCAAAAGCATTATGCAAAGTGAAAGAAGTCAGATACAAACAGATAGATACTGTAGAGCACATTTATATGAAATTCTACCCAAAGCAAAACGATGACAAAAGGTCATACCAGGAGATACCAGGGAGCTGCGTGGTAGGAGATGACTGGGCTGAAAAGGGGCATACAAGAATTTTGGCAGTGGTGGTAACATTCTGTATCATGATTGCGGTGGTGGTTACACACTGTATATCTTTGCCAAAGCTCATAAATTTGCATTTTTAGGCTGATTAATGTACATAAATTATCTCAATAACTATCTTTTAAAAATCCTTTTTTCTCCGTGAGCAAAGGCCTCCAAAATGGAGGAACTGGCCTTTTGCTAGTCTTTTGAGAGAAGGAAGAAGAAAACATCCTATTTCTCTAGCAAGTCATAAAATAAATATAATCACTAACAAAAATATCTCCCATTTACCTTAATAAGTTGACATTGATTTCTCTCACAACCAAACTAACTCTAAGGTATTTATTGATGGAAAGAAAACTAAATTCTTAACTAACTCAGAAATTTCAAATGACTTAGAAACATAATATCATAATATCTTCTAATGTTGTATTCAAATGGTTTTATCCCCTCTGGAATGCTCATTTTCAGCTTGCCATCTTCCTAATATCACTCCATGCCTACTCAGGGCAATTCATCACCCAACTTTCACAAAGTCCATTTGAGGACTGAATTTATCATACTGTAATGATTAGAAAATTGAAGATATCCTTGGCAGAATGACTTCAGTGTTAATTCTAAAAGGAAGGAAGGAAGGAAGGGAGGAAGGAAAACTAAAACCTCTCCAAATAAAATTGATGTACCATATGTTGGCCCAAATGACTGAAGATCTACATTGATTTCAAGATTCTTGGTATATATATATCTGGGGATTAGAATCATCAATGTTGAGTTAATTCATAAATGTCCTTTTTTTTAATTCAGAGAATTTGTAAATATTTCAGGAAATATTTGAGAAATGGAAAAAGAAAGAGAAAGAGATTTCCCTCAAGTTCTTTGGTGGACCATCCCAGAAGCAAAGGGCCAAACCACCAGGATAATATAAGAGTTAAGTTGTTATAGTATAGGTCCAAACACACAAAACTATCAAGACAAGGCAAATGATTTTCATCTATTGCAAGACTTCCATTAGGCAATAGAAAAGTAGATTCCAAATTTACACACACGTGCTGGACATAGCTAGATGTAAATTTCATGCAGGCATGGATTTTATTCTCTTTTTGCAGTGAAGTGTCTCCAGCCCCTACAACATAGTAGCACTAATCAACTACTAATTGTTGACTGGTGAATAGACTTGCCTTTTCAGAACATCAGTTAGGTCTGGAGAAATGGAACAGAAATACCTGAAGTGGCCATTGCAGACACACAATGGGAGAAAAGTCTGATCAGTGACTTCTAACCTTGCCACACAGCAGCCGGCCTCTTTTAAAGATCAGAATAAAGAAATATAGTGCTTGATTTCCAAACATATACACAAAACCATGAGTGAACAACCAGTATTATTTTGATATCTGTAACGGTTACATGGTCTCACTGGGCAGGAAGAGTGTGAAAAGAAGGTAGGATTTTTATCAAGTTCCAAGTTCTTTGACTCTTCAGAAAATATATTGAAATCAAATAACTGCTGAGTCCAACCATGTTGTGTGGCCAGTTGGGTAGGGGTTGCTGACTTCTGTGTGGATAGAAAAAATGAAGTCATGACATGACTCAAGCCCAGGGATGTGAGCTATGTGACCACTGCCTTCCTAGTTTCAGTCCTGTTATAAAGTATAACCATGGTTCAAAACTACACTGACGTATCACCTCACACCTGTCAGAATGACTATTACCAAAAAGACCAGAAATAACAAATGATGGTGAAGATGTAGAGAAAAGGGAACCATTATGTATCATCGGTGGGATAGTATATTGGTGCAGCCACTGTGGAAAACAGTATGGAGGATCCTCAAAAAAATAAAAATACAAATACCATCATATCGTCCAGCAATTCCACAACTGGGTATCTGTCCAAAGAAAATGAAAACCCTAATTCAAAAAAGTTTATGCATCTCTATGTTCATTGTAGTATCATTTAAAATAGCCAAGATATTTTATGGAAACAACCTAAGTGTCCATCAATGGATGAATAAAGAAGAGTGACATATATATGTATACACACACACATATATATACATATATATGTGTGTGTAAATATATACATACATATGTGCATATATATATTATTCCATTATATTATTGGAATATATATATAATGGAATATTATTCAGCCATACAAAAAGAATGAAATCTTGCCATTTGTAGCAACATGGATCGACCTTAAGGATATTATGCTAAGTGAAATAAGACAGAGAAAGACAAAAACTGCATGATTTCACTTATATGTAGAATCCAAAACGCTAAAACAAAACAAAATCCAGGCACATAGGTACAGAGAATGGATTGGTTGCCAGAGGAGAGGGAGGATTGGGGGCAGGGGTGTAAATGGATTATGAAATACCAACCTCCAGCGATAAAATAAGTAAGTCATGAGGATGTAATGTGCAGCATGGGAAATATAGTCAATAATATTACATTAACTTGGTAAGGTGACTTTGCATGTTAACTGGACTTATTGTGTGACTGTTTTGCAAAGTATACAAATGTAGACTTGCTATGTAGTACACCTGAAACTAATATCGTATTGTCTGTCAATTACACCTCAATAAGAAAATAAAATAAAATGTATACTTCATACTCTGTTAATACTGGTGATTACATTAATCAATTCAGTGTTAAGACAATGTTGCATTTTTAGGATAAATCCAAGTTAGTCTGCGTATATTACTCTTTTTATATTTTACTGGACATATTTCTTTACTAATATTTTCCTTAGAGTTTGCATCTATATTCAGACTTAAAATTGCCCTAAACGTTTCCTTTCCTTTCCTTTGGTAAAACTCACCAATGCCACCTTCTGAGCCTACTATTTATAAATAGCTAGTCAAAGCTAAAATCTTAAGGAAAGACAAGGTTTTTAACTTTGTAAATTTAGTAATTTAAATATTCAGTCAGAAAGCTGAAGCAAACTTCTTGATTGTCTATGCAGACAAAAATTTTTGAGGACATTTAACTTTTTTAAATCTTATTTCAGAGAGAGAGAGAGAAAATCCTAAGCAGGCTCCATACCAGTGCAGAGCCCGTTGCGGGGCTCGATTCCATGAACCGTGAGATCATGACCTGAGCCACAATCAAGAGTAAGACGCTCAACCAACTGAGCCACCCAGGCACCCTGAGGACATTCTAAAAAGCCTATGTTAACAAAGTTAAATTTGAGTCACTAAAAAAAATTGCCAAGTCCTTCCTTTCTCCTCATGTTAACTGCTGCTCTTCCTTCAATGGCTGCCTGTCGCCATCACTTTCTGTCACTTGAGTCGTCCGGGCCAAGCCACCCGTCTGCTCGCGTGTGTCCTGCCAGTGTCCTCCCACCCTTCCTCCAGCCATGGCTCCTTTGAGCTCTCGGTCACTGGTAAAGATCCAAAAAATGTGTATACATTTTTTACCATGTAACAGTTCCTGCCCACTTAGGTCACTAAAATGCTTTGTGCTAAATCCCAGTTCATGTGATGAGATTAAATTGATAGCTCCATGGTGATTCATGGTTTTCTGCAAAGAGCATCATCAGATCCAGAAACCCTTTTCCCTGAGCAAGTTGAAGAAAATTGTTGCTTCCCCAATCTTTTGTAAGAAAACCAGTTTCTCTGAGGCTATGGGCTCACATCATGCCATTTGACTTGTGGCCTCCTGTGTCTGTCACCATCTGTGACCGCCTAGTCCCTTCCCCCCACTTGTTGAAGGTTTTGGCACCGGTTTATAGACTTCTTCCCAGGATCCTCCAGAAGCCCAGGTGGCTTCACTGTTCCCAAAGCCTCTCAGTCCCTTTACCTCCTCCTCCCAGAAGATCTCCTCTGGGCTACACCGGCCACTCCCCAGTCTTGGTCATTACCTACAGTCGTCCAAGCTCTAAATGACTAACTCACGCCTCCTGCGTCTTGCTCAGAGTCCACTGATTTCCTTCCTCTTTCCCCAATCCACTTGTCATCTCCTTCCTTCTCTTTCTTGCTTATTTAGTGAAGACTGAGGCAAACATTCAGAGCAAACTGGAGTTCACTGGTGGAGGAGTCAGCAGACCCTGGACTTCCCATCCTCTGGGCGTTGTATGTAGAGTCCTACTTGGCCCAAACACTTCCAGTTCCCCAGGAAGGAGCTCCTTCCTTCTTTTTATAGGGCAAAAACCCACAGGATGTGGCCACCAGACAGTGGGAACATTCATGCCAGCTGCTGGGGTGGGGGTGTACTGGGGGTGCCCGCAGGAGACCTCGGGGAATTGAGAGAGTGCACAGGCCTTCTTGTTCACAATCTTCCTTCGTAGAAGTTTGCTTAGTGTTGCCAAACACGGGGTTGAAGATGAGGGCTTTACCTCCTCCTCAATCCCCATAAGTCTTTCCTGCTCTTCACTATGAACAGTTGGGGTCTTCTCACTATCATAGCACAGAAAATACTACACAAAAAACTTCAGCTCCTCCCACTTCTGCATCTGATTGCTCTACCAAATAGAAATTCTAGAGCCACTGCAGTCTCTTCTCCTCATGTTTCTGTTTCTCCTACGTAACAAAACCCCAAACCTAAAAGTTCCCTCCTGCCTGCTTTCTTCGAGGACAGCGGGCAGTTTTATTCCACTTCTCTCACTAAGTCACCTGTACCCTCCGCAATAATATTTGACACTTTCAGCACACTCCTTCCGCCACTGACCGTCTTTGCCTCCTCATATCCTGCCAGGGATGACTTCTCTTCTTGCTTCACAGAGAAAATTAGAGCCATCTGAAGAAATCCCCTCAACTTCCCACTTCTGAACTTCCTTCCACACCAGCACTCCTCCCTCCTGCAAGTAGAGGGGGTGCCTGGTCCCACGTGGTCCGTCCATCCCCACCTGTCCAGTCCGGACACTGTCCTTCCCTTCCTTCTCAGGAGCCACACACTGATTGTCCTCCCTTCTCTCTCTCATACTTTCTCCACCTCAACCAGACCAGTCCTCCCAATATTTACACATGCTCCAGTCTCCTCCAGCTGTTTGTTAAAAACAAACAACAAAAAAGCTCATCTCCCTCCAGCTTCTCTCTTTCTCTCTCCCTCTCTCCCCCTTCATAGTCCGAATTCTGAAAAGAGCTCTTTATTTATTTTTTTTTTTTTTAATTTTTTTTTTCAATGTTTATTTATTTTTTTTGGGACAGAGAGAGACAGAGCATGAACGGGGGAGGGTCAGAGAGAGAGGGAGACACAGAATCGGAAACAGGCTCCAGGCTCCGAGCCATCAGCCCAGAGCCTGACGCGGGGCTCGAACTCACGGACCGCAAGATCGTGACCTGGCTGAAGTCGGACGCCCAACCGACTGCGCCACCCAGGCGCCCCTGAAAAGAGCTCTTTATATGCACTGTCCCTATTTTCCCCACCTCTTGCCCAGGTTTCACTCTTCCCTAGTCTGGCTTCGGCACCCGTCACCCCAAACAACACTTGCAAAGGTCGTCAATGACCACCATGTTGCTAACTCCTAGATATTTTTTATTCTCCATGCTGCCTAACCTGTCATAGCAGATATCGTTGCTGACTGCTCCTTCCTTCTTAAAACATTCTCTCCTTTTGTTTCCATGACACCACACACTTGGTTTTCCTTTTCAACTCTCCTTTTCAAACTTATCCTTCCCTACCCTATATCTGAAGTCTAGGTGCAAGGCCACTCCACACTGGCTACTTGCTTCCTGAAGAATATCATTCACGGGGAGGGGCCAAGATGGTGGAACAGCACGGAAGTTTTTTGTGTGTCTCGCGTCCATGAAATACAGCCAGACCAACACTAAACCATCCTACGCACCTAGAAAACTGATTGGAGGATTAACACAACAATCTGCACAACCTGAACCACAGAATTCAGCAGGTACACGGCGCGGAGAGGTAGACTTGGGGAGTGAGAAGGCTCAGGAAGGGAGGTGCTTTTGCAAGAGGAGAGAGGATGGAGACTGGGGTGGGGGGAGACTACAGGAAAAGCACCCCTCCCAAAAGCAGCTGGAGACAAAGTGGAAAATTGGAAACAGCCACAGGGACTAAACTAAAAAGGGAGAAAGGAGAAAGGAAAGGGTTTAAATTCCATTGAGACTGTAAACAAGGGGAGCGCAAAGTCTGCAACTATGCAGCTCGATACCTTGTGATGCTCTGGTGGGAAGGGCGAATCCCCAGGAGCAGAGTGGGGTCCGGAAGGTTCTCGGGCCACACGGAAAAAAGCGGTTCCACTGCCGGAAGGACATTTGGTAGAGACTGCTGAAGCCACCTGGTCCCAGCAGACCCCAGAAAACGGCCACATCCACTGGTGCTGGAACAGGGTCGTTAAGGGTGAGGCTCGGTGTTAGATGTGTGTTGTGATTTTCCGTAATCCGTGAAAAGCTGCCGCTATACTATCTCGCGAACTTCTTCCGGGGCAGGCTGGCACCTGGCCGCAGTCTCGGGGCACCGGCAGCAGCAGGGTCCGGCAAGCGGTCCTGGGTGCAGCCGACATTCAGCCATTGCTCATTCGGCCATTGCTCGGTGAGACCCTCCCGCAGAGGGGCGGAACGGGCCAAAGCTGCAGTCCTTCAGAAGTAAGGGGCCGGAGGAAACAGCTGCACCTGAGACAAAACTCGGGAGAGAGGTACTGCCTGGGTCTTGGTCACAGACAGTGAAAAAGCGGGAAATGGACAAAAGCTGAAGACAGACGACGGGTGCGCGATTGCTGACGGGGAGAACAGACTGGGTAGCTGGGTGGGGGCCATTTTCAACGCTACCGCGCATGCACATATGCACCTACGAGCACACCTACGAGCACCGCAACAATCCACCCCAGTAGGCTAGCAGCGCCATCTAGTGGAGAACGGAGCCGTTACACTGAGCCCCGCCCAACTGGGCCAACCTCGCTCTTCAAGAACACATGTCTCACTGCCTACTTAGTTTATGGACTATAAAGCGCGTCGTAGTCTGACTTCTAGTGGAAAATGAAGTAATTTGGTCCTATTTCAATCTGTTAGCAGGTCCATCCATTCATCTTTCTTTTTTTTTTTTTCTCTTTTACA